GCAAGACAAAAGTGAAAAAATGCATAGCACACTGAGACTGACCGATGTCCAAAAGCTTTTTTACTTTTAAATAAATGAATAAATGAAAACAGCTTATTCCATTGGTAGTTAATTTTACTTGTCAAGTTGAATCGACTTAAATAAAGTAAAATGTTCTTAATTTAAGTCATTTTAACTTACCTAGATATAGTTTTTTTTTTTCAGTGTGTACGTAACATTCACTCTTGTGAGCTTTTACCTCCTCAAAAATGTTCCTGGAGTCATGTTTTGTTTCATCACCACATTTGATTAACTCTTTATTATTAGTCTCTCTGCATCGCCAAAGCTCAAAATGCTCTGTTACACCTTGTGATGTCATGAATTGGTAGTTTTGAAGTTAACAGCTCCATTTTATCTTTTATTCAGAGACTGGCAATTCCAGGGCTGACATTATCCAAATGATAGTGACGATGTGTGGAGTTTAAAAACACAGTGGAGCATTTACTCTATTACCACATGTGTGAATGAAACAAAACACAACTCCAGTTATCTTAACAGAATGTAGCCCTACTGAAAAATGTAAAAGTGGGCAAAGTCCAAACCCGAGGCACACCGACTCAATAGATTAAAAGTTCTTCATTACAAAGTTGTAAAAGGAAGATATAATAAAGGACTTTTAATATATTCAGCTGGTGTGCCTCAGGTTTGTACTTCACCCACTTTTACATTTTTCAGTAAGTGCTACATTATGTTAAGATTTCAAGTTCAACCCTCGTAGAGCACCTGCACTAGGGATGTAACAACAACCAACAATAATAATTGTGTTATCGTATCATCAAAAGTCTCACAATAATATCGTGGGGTGTCACAATATATCAAATTACAAAATCCTTTGCTTAAATGCATGGTTTTATTGTAACAACACCAAATAAACATTGGGAACTACATATCCCATGATTCATTTCAGTGCAGACAATATGAAGTAATATGTTTTTTACTTGAATTTTTGGGATTATGACATTAATAATTCACACCAAAATCTTGTCAGGGTATTTTAAGAGGAAAAAAAAAGTAACCTCTGCAAAATATCGTACTGTGAGATGCATATCGTGATAATATTGTACCAAGAGCTTTGGGTATCGTTACATCCCTAACCTGCACTACTACTTTTGACTTTTTTATGACCCAGTGAAGCGCTCTACCTCTTCTTTTCATCTGACAACTCCAGTTTTGTTTTCGATGAAGAAACTTTAAGTTTTAAGAAATTATAAGTGTGTGTGAATGTATGCATGTGTACATACTGTATACATCAGGGAGGGGGAGCCTTCAGATCAGGAGGTGGTTCATCGAGGGGTTGGCCGGCCTGATTGGCGGATGGTTATGTGCAGGGCCCTGGGGGTGGCCGTCGCCTGTTCTGTACTTGAGTGGGGATCTGAGGCAAAGCTCCATTACATACTTAAAGGTTGTATGGAGGTTTTTTGTTTTGTTTCAAATTGTCAGTGAAAGTTTAAAATACCATTACAGAGATGCAGCAGTTTTGTAATTATGATGACCAAAAAAAAAGAATGAAAATCTATCAACCGTGGACATAATGAGGCCAGATGAACATCAGCCAATACAAAACGAGGCCCCCTCATTTTCTATTGGGTGTTAGGTTGTCAATCAAACTCCCTACATTTCTAGTGTAACTGACTCGCCGGCGCGCGGGGATTACGTGGTTTATGCACGGTTTTTCTAGGCTTTTTTAATCTGTAGCGTCCTCGCAGTTCGCACAAAGTTTGTTGCGACGGCAGACGAGAATCCACGACCAGTTCGCTGCAAAATAAAGTCGGTTTTTGAAGTCGTGAAGAGAAGGGAAAAAGGAGCAAAACAAAACTGTGGTGAGTCTTGGAGATTTCTTACAGCGACGGCGCAACTGAAGCGGACGAAGGATTTTATTTCTAGACAGGTCACTTCAACGGGAATTCCTGAACGCGCACCGGCTGTAAACAAGCGTGATTTCTAGAGTAAAGAGGTGGGAGGAGGAGGTGTTTCTACTGAAGGAGCTGTGGAGGAGGAAGGTGGTGTCACACACGGACAACATTTGAAAAAGGACTGTCGCTGTATTTCTCTTCCCTTAAAAAATCCTCTATACAACCTTTAACTTACTTTCAATACTCAAATAAACTACCGTAAATTCCGAACTATAAGCCGCTACTTTTTTCTCACACTTTGAACCCTGTGGCTTATAAAACAATGCAGCTAATATATGGACGGATTCTTTGTTTGACACATTGTCCATTTATATACGGTCTATGGTTTGGCAACACAGTGGATACGCGCAGCCTGAGTGCAGAAAACGCTCCTGTTTGTGCGGTTCTCGCATGGATCTAGGGTTAACATGAAGTTGCTACACTAGCTAGAGATAATGTCAGCACACTCAAATAGTTTATTGCCATGTGGTAAAATAAGTTATGATGCTAAATGAACATTAGTGAGGGGAATATGTCTTACCCGTGTGCTTCCCTGCTCCTGAGAGAGCCTGAAATCTACTGAAATCCTATGAGACACTGACATTTGTCAACAAGACAGGATAGCAGCTCTTGCAGGAGACATGTGCAGTAGAGTACAGAGAGATTATGATTTTGTGCTTCATGCACACACCCTCCTCCTGGAAAAGACACAAAGAAATGCAGATGATGCAGCTTTTTAAGTTAACGGCAACTGATGTGACTGTGAAAGAAGGAAACAGAGCTGCTTCATGTGAGCTCGGCATCAATGAGTCGATGATGAGATTTTGGCGACTGCAGCGTGACGAACTGACTCAATGCAAAAAGACAACAAAAGCTTTCAGAGGAGATAAAAGCAGGTGGCCCGAACTTGAAAATGTTCTTGAAGACGTGGACATCTGTGGCTTATATTCAGGTGCAGCCTATATATGTACATTTTTTTTTTATTGTTAAAATTTAGTTGATTATTATTATTAAAACCAAACAAATTATAACATCAGAAAATAGTGTGATATGGAGCCTTTAACCTTTTTCAGAACGGCATTTACTCTCTTATAGTTGAATCGGTTCACTGGGCTGATGATCACCAACCATCACCCAGACAGCCAATAACACAACAACAGTATCACATGCCCGAGGGAGGGTTCCAACCACAAACTTCTGGTTAATGGGCATCAATTTCTACCATCTGCCTGGTTTAGTGTAATGTTTGATTGGATTACCGTTCCCAGGATACTGCAAAAACAATGAACTCCAGATTAGTAACAGTGCACTAACTGACATGCAACTAGGTCTAATTTCATTTCACTTTGGTCTGGTCACCAAACTGGCGCACGCAACTCTCTGTTTATGTAGTTAGTGCAGTTAGTGGGCTCTAAATAAAAGACTGAAACTCATTTTAACTAGACAAAGAGACAATTGTGTGTTTTTATTTTCTTTTAAAAGGTCGGTTTCTTTCTGTTTGATGTTCTGTGTGCAAAGCCAAAAACAATACAACAGCAGAATTAAACCGAGTTATTACTAAGTATATTATTATGATTTTATGCGTGCAATCGATCTGTCTTGGTTTATTTTACATAGATAAAGGCACATTTATGCAACGCCTCTTCAACCCACAAAACTGATTTCTTCAAATAATATAAAGCATAAATCGTGTGTACTGGTGCAACACAGAATATGAGTCAGTTTACTGTGTTGCTCTTTTGTAAGTCTTAAGGAAATAAAGTCCGCTCTGCCCTTCCTGTAAACCACGTCTGCATATTTGCTCCAGCATGAACTATTGATGATATCTTTTTTGTTTTTTCCTCTGATTATATAATATATATTAGAGGGAGGCAATTCAGTTATTATATTTTTTTCTGTTAGGAATGACAGGTGTTTAGTGCAGATCTATAGAATCTACATCACCTTATTGTATATTAGTTATAATAAACTCTTTTGTTTCATGTACTTCCCCTTATGTTTTCAGAACTGCAAATAATAGAAACTTGGTGGATTTATTTTAATCTGCGTATCATTTGTTCATTCGTTTTTCAAAATAAAACCAAAAATAAGAAAATGAAAAAACAACTATTTTCTTCACTATTTGTCTCCAAAACCAAAATGAAAAAACAGATAATGACTTGTTTTTTCAGTTTTCGATTTTGTGTTTAAATGAATAATGAACATGACGGGGCCCAGAGGTGCGCCTGCGTACACTGTCGGGTGATCAGGACTAAGACTGGGACCAGACCAGGACTGAGACAGCGACTGAGACTGGGACCAGACCAGGACTGAGACCGGGACCAGACCGGCACCAGACTGGATGCAGGACTAGGACTGACACCGGGACTGAGACCGGGATCAGACCAAGACCAGAGCAGTGTAATGGAAATTTATATTGTGGAAAGATTTCTCTCAATCTGTCTTTGTGCATCAACACCTGGACTGAGACCGGGACCAAACTGGCACTGAGACCAGGACTGAGACTGGGACCAGACCAGATTTTTTTCTTTTTACAATGTGGGGGCTTTTTACTGTGAACATGAGCATATATTTTTCAGTGCTACACATTTATATTACGCAAAATTGACTCTTTTGAGCTTTAAGTCATATTAGAACGCTGTTACCTCTTCAAAAACAGACCTGGGTTTGTGTTTTGTTTCATTCACACATGTTTGAGTAATCTTGGCTTAGTTAGTCTAGGCTTAGTTGGTTTAGTTAGTCTGTCTGCATCACCAAAGCTCAAAATGCTCCGTTCCACCTTGTGGTGTCATGAAGCAGTAGTTTCAAAGTTAACAGAGTAGAGATTGGCAATTCACTTCCTGTATTACCACACTCATCACAAGTTCTTTTTTGCTTTCTGTTTGAGAGTAGAACTCAGCCTAAATATGCAGGATTTGTGTGTTAAATATGTGTGAATTAAACAAAACACAACTCCAGGTATGTATTTGAAGAAGAAACAACATAGCGTAATATGATCCCTTTAATTTGTTTAATAAAGCAGAAATCTATAAAGTATAAAGTGTCTTCTTTCTTTCATTTCTGTTGCAGGTTGCAGTATATTTGAGAACTGTAAGCGCTGTAACAATGGCACGTGGGGATCCAGGGATGACTTTTTCATCAATGGCCGATACTGTGCAGAGTGCCGTCCGGGCTGGTCTGGAGGAGACTGCATGAGTACGTCCTATTTACTTAAAACATGTCTTTGTGGCCTTAATTCACTTTGCATTGAGTTTCTGTAATCCTTTTATGTATTCTTTAAGGTCATATCCGTATGCACAATGTGTCCTTCATACTGATTTCTCCGACTGTCTCTGATGCGACTTTGGAAGAGTGCCATTTGCCTTGCAGCTTTTCCATACAAAACTGCATAACAAGACTATATGCATTGCAAAACATCTGAAAAAAATATAATAACATTGAAAGCATACCATTTGGACACTCAGTATGACTTTCTTAATGTGTGTCTAACTTTCCCTGAAGGCACCACAAAGATCCATTTAATTAAAAACTCAAGACGTTGAAAATGAATTACTTTAACAGCCCTTTGTGGATTGTGTGTCAATTGTCTGTCTTTGAGGAAAATATTTCACAGTGGTGGAACTTCACTTTAATTGCTGTTGGTTATAATGGAAACCATAACAGTGGGATTCGTGCCTTCAAAATGATGATTATACTGTAATTAAATGCACAACTTTCCATGATGAAATGCATCTCTGTGGGCATTTCAGAGTGTGGGGGAGTGATCCGGAAAAAACAAGGCCATTTGGTGCTGGAGAGTTACCCCAACAACGCCCGCTGTGAGTGGACCATCCAGGTGGACCGGCCCTTCACCGTAGAACTCAGGTAAAACGGCCTAAAAATGTCTGTATTCACATCACATAATAATTACTGTGTCTTCATCGCTGACTCACACAAAATGTATATTCTTCTTAAATCCAAACGTCAATGTAATGATACAGGGAAATATTTCACAGTGACTTTTAGCAGATTTAGTAGATTGGATTTTTTTTTAAGTTTTGCCTTCCCTCACATTAAAGGAGTAAATGAATTTTTTACACAAAAAGAAACCAAGGGCGTAGTTTTGCATAGGGATGATGGGGACACGTCACAGCCAATATTTGGGGAAGACAAAATAGTTCCTATCAATATTTGCAATTTTAGTTTAATAAACAAAAATAAGTTTATTCCAATATTTTTCCAAACTTAGTAGTATTAATTTAACCCGTTTTAGATGACATTTTGTTTATTAGAAGTTCTGAGCTGTATTCAGTGATATGACAACAGGGTTACTCCTGCTGTTATTTCATTGGCTGTAACAGAGTGACGTCATTAGTGGAGCCAGGAGCCTAAACTGGGGAAACGGCAGGACAGGGCCAGCACCTGAAGGACTTGAGCAGGCTTGAGCAGGCTGGATGAAAGTGCTGAAAACAATGCAAATCTGACTTCTCATCATACATGTTGCTGTTCAGTGTGAAGGAAAGTAAACAGTAAGTGTAACAAATAAATACAAAACAGTTTTACTTAACTTTATAAAATATGTATTTATCATTGGTTGCATTTGTGTGGTTCAGTACACAATTTTGGCATCACATTTTTTGTAACTCAGCAAAATTAACCATTTGTAAAATATCAAAAATGGGGAAAGAAGATAATTTTTCTCATGTGTGCAACCATCTTGTGGCAATTTCATCACACAGCGGCACGAGATGTTGTCCCATCTCTAATGAATCTATATTTATTGATGAGTTGCCTGACACTTTAACTATCCAATCCTATTTTTCAGCAGAATTTTGAAGCAGATTGTGTGCCAAAGAATACACCATAACTCAAAAATGTAACAAAAAAATAGAAAATGCATCATGGTAGAAGTTAATGACATTGCTGAAAGATGAAATACATATTGTAGATTGCAAAGATAAAACAGAGCTGTCCCTTTTAACGATGACGTCTGTAAATCCGACTGTTGCTACAGTCTCTTCTGGATTCAAATGCTCCGTACTGAGATCTTTAACGTCCATCTGTAATAGCAATTCTGGCACGCTAAACATTAATTTCCACTTTGTCCCGACATTTTTGCTCAAACTATGTCATGCCTAATTTTGCAGCAAAACTTCTGTAACCACAACAGTATGGCCTTTCAGTACGTCAATATTTCAGCTGCTCATTTTCTCCATTACTTTTACAACACTTCACATGCCAAAACAGTTATTGTTTTAGCAGTAATTTTGAGGCACGTGCGCACAACACAATACAGATTTTTATAGGTCCAGCATGCCTTTTTCCTATAGATTTAGCACGGCAGTTAAAAGTTTATGTCGTCCTTGCCATATTTGTCTGCCTCTTTAATATAAATCAAGCAACTATATTACTTGTGCGCTCATAAATTAAGTAATGAGGAAAGTGTGTCTGTGTTTAATACATTAAAGGGTTATTTTTTGTTTGTTATAATGTTCTTTATTCATTAGAAACAGACCTGGAGTTGTGTTTTGTTTCATACACACAAATTCTGCATATTTAGACTGATAATTTCTCAAACATAAAACACTCTGTTCCACCTTCTACTGTGTTTTTAAACTCCATACACCTTCACTAGAATCATTTGCTTAATTTCAGTAAAAGTAAAGTAAAAGATAAAGCTGAAAGATGAAAACTATTGCTTCATGACATTACAAGGTGGAACAGAGCATTTTGAGCTTTGAAGACAGGCAGCCAGGATTACTGAAACATGTGAATGAAACAAAACCCCATTAATTTTTTTATGAGGAGACAACATTCTAATTTGGCTAAAAACTCACATATGACATGTTTTGAGGATTCTCCAATTTTTGCTTAATTTTAATTTAGTTTTACACCAAACACAAAGCAATTTGTGGAGAAAATGTGTTGAAAATTACAGGAAGTAGAGACAATTCTATCCAAATGTTCGGCACAATTTGCACAAGAAACATGTTTTTCTGATACTTCAAACATGATTTCAATTAAAAAGGTGGTTTCTTATATTTTTATTTGCCAAATATTAATCTCTGTGCACATTAGAGGAGTTTCAGCCCAGTGAACAATTGGAATTCCCTAGCGTGATCTTATTTCCAATGAGGAACTGGAAATGAAATTGTAAAAGGTGTAGTAAAATCTTAAATACAATGTCCTTAACTGTGTTTTAGTCAGAGGCACTTTAAACATTTGACAAAAAGTATTAATAGGTTTGCCTGTATTTCAGTGGGCATAACTACAGTATAACAGTATTCTCCATTTCCATTACCTCAGGTTTTGTCATAAATTAAACAGAAATACCAACTGGGCACAGGCCAAAGCTTAATTTCTTTCTTTGTACAGCCAAAAAAAGATTGCGTCTAACCCCGAGCCGTCTGTGTGTCGTTTATTGTTCTAGTATCTCAGTGGCATCTGCATCTAAACAACATGGTGCAGTGATTGAGAGCATGTGTACGTAAGGAAGGCTTTACTTTTTCATAAACAAAACATAACACTGGAAAACAGTATTAAACAAAAACTTCACAGTTTTTGATTTGGAAAGTGCCATTTTCTTTAGTGTGCCAAAGAAAAAAAAAATAACAGTAAAGCAAAACTTAAAATACAGTCCCAAACATTCAGAAAGTAAACAAGTAAATATTCAATTATGAGTATTTACAGTTTATTATAACATATTATTAAACAGTCCATGCAAAATATAAATATCTTAAACTGTCTCTGTTATATTCAGTTCAATAAATTTTCCAATATTCCAGACTCCATTGTTAAAAACAGACAAACACAGTGATAATACAATAAACTGTTATTTTATTTTTTTTTAAAACAGCCACATTTTAGATTAATTTTAGAATATACAATACAATAATCCACATCTGAATTAGGACTATTCATAGATCTTGTTATATTGACTGGTCGTTATCCCAACTAAAGATGTACAGTATATAACTAAGCTTTTGCACAAGACTTCTGCCATGTTTTATTTTATTTTTTTCCTAGAAAGTGTTTAAACTATCTCTGAGAAGATATTAAAATGTATATCCAAAATGTGTTCTTATAATTGTTATTGTGGGGATTTGCCTACGGAACACAAACTTGCACTAACATTAAGTATAATAAAATTAAGTATATATCTTTGCCATCAAACTTCCAGTATTTATAGCTGTATTTGCATATTGTCTTTCTAGGATTATCACTGGTTCATCCTTTTATTATGTATAACGTAATGCAGTTTACTTGTCTGTATTTGTTTCTTGTGTTCTCTAATGTGACTCACAGTTGCACCCTGTAATCTGAACTGCTGTGAAGCCAACTTTTCCCCGTTATATTTGGCAACTCTACAAAGCTGAATACATTAAGTTTCAATATGTCATGGCACCTTTAACGGCCGCAAATTATAAACCAGTTACAATGCAGTTACAAAGCAGAGCCAGGCAGCTGTGGTCTAGAGGGGTGTTCTGTGGCAGAGTGTGTTTACTTACTAACCATCATTACATGTTAACATAGAGCTGCTGGCAGCATATATTAAACTCATCATGCCAGCAACCTCACAGCAGCCAGTCAACACAGTGCCATGCTTACTCTTTTGAACAATCATTTGCAGTGCAGAACTGTTCAGTGGCTACTGACTCTTTGTTACTTTTCTGTTTGTTGTAGATGAAAAACATGCAGTATTTAACAGTTCCAGATTTTTGTTGCTATAAAACAGAACCAAGTGTTCTTTTTTATCAATTCTTGTTTTAGTAAAACAGAAAATGTGTACTTTTTACTGCCAAAATGTAAAGTAACCATGTCCTGAAACCTAACCTCCACTGTTAACAAAACCACATTTAGGTTTAGGATGTGTGTGAAATCCCTCAGTTGTCCAGGTAGAATCCATGGCAAAAGGAGAAATTCAATTTGTCAACTGGACAAAAGTTTATTTTGGTCAAATACGTTTCGCAGCTCATCCAAGCTGCTTCTTCATTTCTGGTCAGAATGCTGGTGGACACTGCCTTATATCTGCCACAAGGAGAAGCTCACTACAATGAAACTACTCTGAAACTAACATACCTACTTGTTTACAGTTTCTGTTTCATAATGGGTGCTTTCACACCTCTGAGCCTCGCTAATGTTTACTTTGTTTGTTTAGATTTAGGTCTGAGGATGGAGTTATAAATGGGAGACAGATGATTTATAAGGATGGACTGTCTTTCCTGACAAAAATAGACCCTTTAACTCTCTTCTCAAACCAGTTGTTTTCTCTGGCTAAGCTCTGTACCTCACTATCCTCAAAGGAGTGTGTCCTTGGCTTTTAGATGGAGATGTACAGCAGACTGAGGTCCACTGCTGCTCTCTCATCTGTGTTTGTACTTCCTCTTGTGGAGGGGTTTTCAACCAACCAGACAAGTACACTATAGAGGAAAATTGCCATTTCACTTGTACCTTTAACCCACAGACTGTATGAAGAAATGGACTAAGGGAGTATGTCAGCTATAACGTTTGCATCCAGTCAAATGAAGCTCATGAGGCTAGCAATTACAGGGGCAAATTTGGAGCAGAAAAATTTTTAATGTAAAATCAATTGGAAGCAGAGTTGAAGGAGCTAGATGCATATTCAGTCAATGTTTTAACCCTGCTAAATCATGTCCACAACACAAAATGGCCATTGTTTTAACCTTATGTAATTAATTATTAAATTCACAATATATTATGATTTCTCAATTTTTATGACGACGCAATAGAAGTATAAGAACCATAAGATGCAACTAGACACTTTCTTATGTATTTATGCATTGATTTTGCCAACATCTTCTGCATTCTGTGCCCAAGGTTTATGATGGTGAGTGTGGAGTTCCATCATTCCTGTCATTACGACTACATCGAGGTTCGAGATGGCGACAGCATACGCTCTCGTGTGATCGCTCGAATCTGTGGCACCAACAGGCCCCCTCCCATCCACAGCACTGGCAACAGTCTGCACATCCTCTTTGTCTCTGACGGCTACAAGAACTTTGATGGCTTCTTTGCGACTTTCCAGGAGACTTCAGGTAAAGAGCTTGATTAAAGGGCTCATGTAACTCTATTTTCTGATCTTTGTCATAATGTTTCCTCATCAAAAGCCTATCTGGAGTTGTGTTTTGTTTCATTCACACATGTTTACTCACAAACCCTGCATATTTAGGCTGTGTTCTTCGCTTAGAAACAGGAATCACTCTGTTCTACCCTACTGGTCAAAAGTTTTATAACACCCAAATTTATTATTATTTAAGTCCAATGAAGAGCTTGAAATGGTACAAAGGTAAGTACTGAACAGCCCGAGGTTAAAAAAAGATAAAAGATAACAAAACACAAGTCCAAGCTTTGGCAAAACTACCTCAGCAAGAAAGAACAAGATGGTACAAGCTTGAAAACATGGAGTGTCCAGCACAGACTCAAGACTTAAACCCCATCGAGCTGGTTTGGGATGAACTGGACAGAAGAGTGAAAGCCAAGCAACCTACAAGTGCCACACATTTATGGGAACTTCTGCAACAGACTTGGGAAGAACTTTCTGAAGAATATTTGATTTCTGTTGTAAAAATATGGAGCCATGAGTGTGTTCAGCTGCTATATCTGCCAAAGGTGGACACTTTCATGAATCAGAAAAGTGTAGAATATGTTTTTATCAACGGTAAACAGTAAAGAGTAAAAAAAATAAATCATCTGGATAATTTCAGCACAATGTAGCTGTTAACTTGAAAAGTACTGCTTCATGACATCACAACAGAGCATTTTCAGCTTTGGAGAGGTAAAAAGACTAATAATAAAAGCTAAAATATGTGAATTAAACAAAACTCAGCTCCCGGTATGTTTTTGATGAGCATTCTAACATGGGTAATACTCACAGGAGTCAATTTTGCGTAATATAACTATAATTTACCATGTGGTATGTGTAAACTGGACGCCTGTAACTCAATTAGGAGCATCCATTACTATAGTTAACTTTAAACCCTACTCCTTTTATTGTTTTTTTGCCTTCACATGGTTCTCATTCTTTATTGAAAATGCACCATGACAGAGAATTAACTGTCTGCATTTCTGTTTTCCCCCATGATTCTTAGGAACAATGTGCTTGATTAGACGATAGCTGGTGTCCTTTTCAGTAGCTTCTCCTTACAAAATGCTTTGCGAATTATATAGATTATGTTTTTCCATCAAATGTTTCCCCAATTGTCTGGATTTACAATACATTGCATAACATAAATCTTAACCAGACGTGTTTAATTTAAAGGTTTAATCAGTTACAGGCCCTTTAACGGTAGCCACGTTGTCTGTATTAAATATGAAATAGCCAATAACATTTGGTCTACAGATTCATATTTTAAAAAGCTTTTTGGTTTCCTGTCTTTCACAATAAGTCCGTAAGGTGCATTTGCTCTCTGTTTACTTGCACGAGGCACACGTTTTCTTCATTCATTTTCTATTCTGTTCCAAATTACAAGCGCCTTTGACTAGTGGGGAGATCGTAGTGGGAGTCAAACCACCAACCCAACTCAAGGGCCCTCTTAACCTCATGCACCTCTGCCAACTCATCCTTTTAAGCCATACATATTCAGTCTAAAATGTAAATCTTAAAAAGGAAAACACCACATGTCCTAACTATAAAAATGACCTTTAAAAACAAATCACAGTGAAATCTATTTTAATGAAGTACTGGAGCATGACCCAGTGACCAGGTCAGACTTAATGAAAAATGGTTTTCTGTGGGCCCAAAGGAAAACAAGAAAATGTCTAAAGCACTCCAGCGCAGGGGCGAGTGAAGAGGCTAATAACGTGGGTGTGTTTATGGGCTGTCATCAGTGTCCTGGAGCCGCTCAGAGTGACAAGAGGTGCACCAATCAGACCTGTCCAAACACCCCCAGTCTGACAAGGCCACCTGGAGAAGTTAACCTCCCATATTCAGGCTTTATTTTGAACTACTAGGGACACCTTACTCTTGGTTTTTCACTTTGCATTACTTAAGAATTATGGATGCTAGACATAGGATAACACATTTTGAAGTGTGATATATTGCTGAAATAAATATAGACCATTAATGATAATATTCAATCTAATTTATGCCACTGACACAATAATGTTAAAGGTGCACTTTGTAATTTTTTGGTTGGGGGTCCGTTATCTGCTTGTTTCTTTGGATATGTCATTGTTCTCCCTGGAAAATGTTCTAGCTTGATTCATTGACCTCGCAGCATTAGGATTTGTTTGCTCAACGGTAGGCGGGTACTTTTTTTATTTAACCAATTGCTGTTATTTGGTCGTGATGTATGTAATGCACCGCTCACAGGGCTAACTGCTATATTAAACTTTTCCCAAATCCCGTAGGAAGAAGGGCAATAACGTCTTTCCGCTTGATGAAAGTCACCAAACATTCTCTTTGATCCGACTTTAAATCCTCGATCTCGGGAGTCGTTGCCAACACAAAATATATTGCTCTTCGCTTATTGGCTGGTGTCCAAACTCGCACTTCCAGGGTTTTTGCGAACCGTCTAGTGTATTCCGATTCCTGGCCTAGTCGCTGGAGAGAAATGAAATTGAACGGAGGCAACAGCCTGGCTAGAAATGTTCCACACTATGACATTAAACAGATCTACCTTACATTTATTCAATTAGAGGTTGTTTTACAGATCAAAAATACCTGCTGGTGCACTGAGAACTGAAGCTGCTTTAATAGATCCAGGAGAGAAACTAAATATTTTAGATTATAGATTATCTATTTCCTTAATTTTACCTTTTATTTGAAGGTGCACTGTGTAACTGTTTGGGGGGAGGGTCCTTCACCTGCTTGTATCCACGGAGAAGTTATTGCTTTGCTTAAAATGTGAAACAATATGGCATTAAGTGTAGATTTCTTGCATTTATTCAATTACAGGGGGCTTTAATGACTTGAAAAACATGCATTCTTACTGAGAAAAGGCTCACCTGCTTGACTCCATGGAGATAGATGTTTAATGTCACACTATGGGACAATTCAGCAATTGCATTTCCATGGAAAAGACCAGAAAAGTTACACAGTGCTCCTTTAACTTTAACATTTCCATTAAGCTTTCAAATGTGGTGCTATGGTCTATGGTGTCCAATTTGCGTTTTATTTATTTATTTTTTTCTTTCTTCTTTTTTTTTTTTACAGTACTGTGCAATCCAGTTATTCAAAAATCCTCAAATACAGTTTACATTTACCTGTGAGACCCAGACTTCACACAACAATCATAAACCAATGGCATGCTGTTATTCCTAATGCCAGTATTTTCTCTGTCTCCTCTCACATTTGCAGCGTGCAGCTCTTCCCCCTGTCTGCATGATGGGACCTGTATCCTGGATAGCTCTTACACCTACCACTGCGCCTGTCTGGCCGGGTACACAGGCAAGAGGTGTGAAAACGGTGAGTGAGACGCTGTAATTACAGTCTTTAATCGTTAAAGTCTATTTTTATTGGGTGAAGTGATTAGGAAAATTTTGTAATGTTGGATTGTTTTCTTTTGACACTTTCTTTGTATATGAGCTGCCCTTGAACGTATTTTTCCTGAAGGGAGTAAATCACAATACTAGTATGAAGGAAACAATTTCAGTGATTTGGAGAAGGTTCAGACTCTGCAGCTGCTTTCCCCATTCAATACTGTGGATTCTTTTGACAGAAAACATCCACAGCATTCAATTGCAGTCTGAGCTGTAGTTTGAAAGTGATCCCAAGTGTTCTTCTTTTATTTTGTTTTTCATTTATGTGATCAATTATGGCAGCTCTGCTTGGACCTAAGATTATGTTTGTACAAGTAAATGTTTTAGCCAAAATTCAACTGGCCTGAGTCGGACTTGCAAAAAGTAGCTGCCATACCTGCAAATGGATTGAAAAAAACAATCTTTAATAGATATCAATTACTTGAATAACTTGAATAATGCCCAAATGTTTACCATTTTGTTAGATTAGATTAGGTTAGATTCTACTTTATTGTCATTACATATATATAAATACAAGATAACGTAATGTGGTTTAGCTTCTAATCAGAAGTGCAAGGAGCAGTAAGTGTGATATATACAGAATGTGCAGAGTTTCGACTGTCCGCTGCATGTAGTGATAGTCTCCATGTGGAAGACCAAGAATATGAGGCCTTTTTAACGTAATATGAACAAATATACAGTGTGTGCTATAGAAAATATAAATATGTATGACATATATACATGAGCAAAAGATATTATCAGTATAAATTCAGAACGCTATAAATAAATAAATAAATGAATATAAAATTAAGTGTCAGATGTAATATGAATATGTAAGCAAAATGGGCAGACATAAACAGCACTGGTGATATGTACATGTAGTTTAGATGGAGGGATTGGACAGGGTACATTCAATGTCCGTGGGGGAGATGAAGAGGGAGGGAGCGAGTGGGTGACATAGTAGGGGGACATGGGCATTCAACGGGGCATAGAGTTCAGCAAGGAAACAGCTGTGGGGAAGAAACTGTTCCTGAACCTGTTACTCGAATAAAGTTGAATTTATCTTGATTAAAGGTCCTATATTACACAAAATGGACTTGTGTGAGCTTTAAGCCATGTTAAAATGTTGTTACCTCATCCAAAACATACGTGGAGTGGTGTTTTGTTTCATTCACACGTTTCCTTATTATTAATCTTCTACGTCTTCAAAGCTCAAAACGCTCTGTCCCACCTTGTGACGTCATGTGATGGTAGCAGTTACCTTTATTTCAGTACGGATAGGCAATTCTGGGGCTGACGTTACCCAAATAATTCTAGAGAAGGTATATAAAGCTTAAAAACACAGTGGAGCACTTTCTGTATTACCACATGGCATCACAAGGTGGATCAGAGGGTTTTCTGTTTGAGAAAAGAAGAGAAGAACCTAAATATGCAGCATTTTTGTGTTAAACGTGTGAAGGAAACAAACCACGACTCCAGAAAAGTTTTTGATGAGGAAACATTAAACCATACATCAGAAAATAACATAAAATAGGCTGTTTAAAGTCTAGTTTTGACATTAATTCACCAGTGGAAAGAGCATTATTCTGCAACATGATACTTTAAATGTTATTTCAAATTAGATCTTAGTGATGTTTTCATTTGTGTTGTGAAGCTCCAACAATAGTTTACGTGGCAAGTCGTGTTCACAAAATTGGATGTGGTAGAGTAACAGTGTTTAAGATGCCCACATGTGAGTGTTTATTCAGTCAAATGGCAAAACCCCATAAGTCTTTGGGGCACTAGCTGTCAGGGTGTGGTTACTTTGTGGCCAAAATACACTAACCCCTTTATTTAGTGGAACCAGGACCCTAACTCACGCTTCTGTGCACTCCCTTCAAGATCCTACAAAAACAGACATTGCTGGCCCCTATAGCTTTTTTTCTTATGGGGCCTTTTTCACTGCAACATTCAAGTCTATAAAATGACCGGCGAAACAGTTGTGCCTTTATAATCCTATCCACCCTCTCCACTGTCAGGCCCATATAAAAAGTAGAGCCTTGGTTCCACACAGTTTGCATTCACAGATATTCCCGGGAGGATTCGTCAGCTGGACTAACACTAACGCAGAGGAAATATTTTTTTATGGCTCGAGTCACTCAGAGAATTATGTAGACGCAGCGTGCAGCCGTTATTTTATGTATTTAATAATAACCATCTAGTTATTCTGTTAGAAATTACAACCACCAAGAGCTTTAAGTGACTTGCAGTGCTTCTTTACAGCTTCTGTGTAAAATGAGATCAGCGTTGGACAGTGCCTCTCGGTTGGAGCTGGAAAAACTGAGACTGTTTTCATATAAACTAATGTAATGTCGCAATCAGGAACTCACACCCCTGGGTAATGGTTACCGAGTTAGTGAGTGAAGTCTTGAGCTAATTTGTTGACACAAGTTTGACAGAATGCGGCCATTTTCTTGTCATTTGCAGCTTTATTATTAAAACAAGTTGAAAATGGTGCTTCTATCTCCTACAGTGTCAATTATAGTGACACTGTTTTAGCGTGAACAGGTGAACCAGATATTAGGTATAGGCAAGAATTCAGTAACAGAGTCATTTACAAAGCAATTTTATGACTTATAATGATAACAATAATTTAGTTAAAGGTGCACTATGTCACTTTTCTGCTACCATGAAGATGTTATTGCATTGCCAGGAATTTTTTAGAGCAGTAGTCTCCAACCTTTTTTGCTCCACGGAACGGTTTTCTATTAATATTTTGCGGACTGGAGGGAGTTGGGGCGGGCATGGTTAAGGCCTGGCTAAATCCTGTTTTAGTGCTGTTTTAGTCATGGTTTTAGACCTGTTTTAGACCTATTTTAGACCCTGTTGTAGACCTGTTTTAGTCCTGGTTTAGACCTGTTTTTGCACCTGTTTTTGCACCTGTTTTTAGACCTGTTTTAGAGCTCTTTTAGTCCTGGTTTAGACCTGGTTTAGTTCTGGTTTAGAGGCGCGCCCCGTGCGATGTACTGGAGGGGGGGACAGTCCGCACGACATGGGGGGGGGGGGGTTGTGCTTTTGCGGCCCTGTACCAATCGACCCATGGCCCTGTACCAGGCCCCAGCCCAGGGACTGGGGACAAGCAGATGTGTTGGACGAACTCTCCACCAGAAAAGTTACAGATTATACAACATAGTCATATATCAGTCAAGTTTCATACTTCCCTCTCACCTCTGTGCAAAATTGTTAAAGGTGCACTATGTAACTTTTTTGTTGAAGGTCCGTCACCTGCTTGTTTCTATAGATATGTCCTTGCTCTACCTGGAATGTTCCACAGTATGACATTAAACAGCTCTATCTTACATTTATTAAGTTACAGGTGGTTTTATAGCAGAAAATACTTAGAAAAACTGGCATTCTGACTGTGAATGGGGTCACCTCTCCACAGATCTGACCTGTAACTTAGTCTGGTGTGGTCTTCATGAATATAGAAAGGTTTAAGGCATGACAAGGCAAGTTTATTTGTAAAGCACAATTCTTACACAAAGTAATTCAAAGTGCTTTACAGAATGAGAAATACATTAAAATGACAATATAAACAACAAATCAAAACATGAATAATCATAACATTAAAAAGAGAGAGAGATTAAATTAGAGAGAAGAAGAGTGCGGAATGAAAAATGAAAACCTTTCAGTCATATACACAGTGAAACAGAACTGTTTTGAGTCTGGATTTAAACACCGTCAAAGTAGAGGCCTGTCTAACATCTTCAGGAAGACTGTTCCAGGTTTTAGCTGCATGAATTTGAAACTCTGAGCACCAGCAGGAGGCCAGCCAGAGATGTACTTTGGTGCTTTGGTCCATGGAGACATGCACACAAGCTGAGCTGCTTTAAAGTCTATTCTCTGAGCCGCAGGAAGCCAGTGCAGAGACCTGAGCACAGGACTTATGTGTTCGTACTTCTGAGCACAGTACTTATGTGTTTGAACTTCCTGGTTCGAGTCAGGACCCTGGATATACTGCAGCGTCTCCCAGCTCGTCTGGAGAGGCCAGTGAGAGGCCATTACAGTAGTCTAACCTACTGGAGACAAACACATGGTTAAGTCTCTGCAAGTCTGCTTTAGACAGTAAACCTTTGATTTTTGCTGTGTTTTGATTTGTTATGTTTCTGAGTCCGTTTAATACCGTTCTGTGAAACATTCCAGACGAAACAATAACATCTCCATGGAGAAATGCGTTTGATGGACCCTCCACCAGAAAAGTTACACAAAGCACCTTTATCATTGAGACTGATTACTGTACTAAAGAGAGTCATATTACTTTTAGCTAAATGTTTCTAGTGCTGTAATAAGATTTATTGGACTACAACCTAAACAACAGATTAGACTAGCATAAACTAAATCCTGGCGTGATGATCTTGATAGGCACATGTTTTCATTGTTGTATCATCACCCAGAAAATCCCTGAGATTTTACCCAGCCTCATTACTGACAGACAGGCCCCTGTATAGAATCAAAACACTCTAAATGACAATATACGAGTCTGAAGGAATGTATACAGGACACATTTAGCTGTTAGATCGTCTGTGGTTAGCTGAAAAACATACAATAACAGCTTTTCTGGCAGTGCAGGCTCTGACCTAATTTAAAGTCAACAATAGATCCTTGTGGACCATCTGACATCATCTTCTCCGTGGACGTACATTGTGTTTGAGGTTTACCACTTCTGGGTGGAACGAAGGAGGTAGGAATGTGTCAATGTGCTGTTGCAGTTCGGGCAGTCTGCTCGGGGAGCTGTTCGACCATTTTGTTTTCAGAAAGTCAATAATAGATGGGCACAAAAGTTAGAGTCTCAAGAGCACTTTATAAAATGCTCTTTTGGCAAATATGAGCAGCTGACACGTTTGACTTTTACTGCTTCTGCTCTTTTTGCTCGGTTGAAGTGTGAAAAGCCATAATCGCGCTTAGAATGAAAGGTGAGATTAACTAATAGGCCTCTAAGGGAGCTATACAACCTCAGCATTTTGAAATTTGAAGGGATCATTGTAAAGATGAAGGCTCTTGGTCTTAGCAGTTGGAGTTGTGCTGTATATATAACACATTTTAAAGATGCACTATGTAACTTTTCTAATGGACGGTTCATCACCATGCGGTATCATCTTGTCAACGCCTGATCCCGTCAGATCTCAGAAGCTAAGCAGGGCCAGGCCTAGTTAGTACTTGGACTGAAGACCACTGGAAACACCAGGTGACACAGGGGGGCGTCATTGACAAAAATAAAATAAAATAAAATAAAAAAAACTGAACTGTCATTGTGTCCTTAGGCAAGACACTTCACCCATATTGCCTGGTATGAAAGTGGTGTGTGTGTGAGTGATGGTGGTGGTTGGATGAGCCAATGGTGCAGATTGACAGCCTCATTTCCGTCCATCTGCCCCAGGGCACCTGAGGCTAGAATAGTAGGTTACCACCACAGGGATAAATGGAGTGACTGAATAATGCTCTGTAAGGCGTCTTTGTGACTTAAGTTTGTGAAAATCATTCTAAAAATTAAAACTGACTTACTTACTTGTGTCTATGGAAATGTTGCTTTGCCTGGAATGTTCCTCAGCATGACATTAAAATTGTATATCTCAATAGAAAAGAAGCAGGTGAGACCACTGGCCAAGTTACTGGTCAGATCTGAGGAGAGGCATCCTCTCTCACGTAAAAATGTTTTTGAAGGTGTCTTAGCAATTACAGTAAATGCAATAGAGACATTTTTTTATGTCATACTGTGAAACATTCCAGATGAAACCATTTCCATGGAAACAAGTAGGTTGCAGACACTCCAGAATAGTTACATTGTACACATTTAAAGTCAAACATTAAGAAATAATTTTTACCTGCACATTTTGCACATATTCTTGGTTACACTTTGCCAATGACATATAATTTGGCAACAATAATTTTAAAGCTATTTCAAACATTCTGGTTGGTTGATAAAAGTTGTATACATGTGCAAAGACTAAACTTTTGGTGTGGCCCAAAAAGAAAGATCTGCAAACATTTAGTGCTACCGATAAAAACTCAAACAACTTAAATGCACCACTGGCCTGAACACTGAATCCTCTCTGGTTCCTTTTATGTGTGAACTTAGGCAAGGTGTGGGGTCCTACTGTGAGGGCTTAAGCTAAGAATTCAACAACTCAATCATACAAGGAGTATTTATTCAAAAAACTCTTAAATTAACCTTGGAATCCAGCGCCTCTGAACTTGATGTTGAGTTGAATTGCCTGTGTGGTCTGTTTGTGCAGGTGAAAAAAACAGAGATACAGATGCTTACATAATCCTTTCTTCATTGTGCCAGGCATCTGCCCACATTACAGCTTTAATAACAGCTCTTGTCCTCACAGTGGTTGGTTGCCGCAGACCCCCGGTGCCCGCCCATGGCTCTACGGAGGGTCTGTTTCACCACTCTGGGGCACGCATCACTTTCCGCTGTGACCCTGGCTTTGAGCTGCAGGGGCACCGCTCTGCCATCTGTTTGAGCGATGGCACTTGGAGCGCCCATGCCCCGAACTGTGGTAGGACAATCACTTTAATTACATTTTAGTTTGTTCCAGCCAAACAAACGCATTCACCCATGTGTACACTATTAGCGTGTCCTTAAATAGCATGCAATGGATGGAAAACATGGTGGAAACAACTGGATTAGACTAACGTGAATGCATCTATCTGTCTTTTGTGTCAGTGCCAGTGGAAAGAGTGTGCACCCTGCCCCCGAAGCCAGCACATGGGGACCACTTCCTGGTTTATGGACCCAATGATGTTCTGATCGCGCTGCAGTACTTGTGCCATCAGCCGTATGAGCTCAGCGGCGGCTCCCAGAGAACATGTCTGCCCAACAACACCTGGAGTGGGGCCGCTCCTGTCTGCATCACAGGTCAGTTGTGTAAGGAGTTGAGAAGTTGGTGTTAAATAGTGTGACAAAGTGAACTAAACTGAACTCTAAATAACACATGTTTTATATCATTAGTAAATTGAAAGATGGTTGGTTATGCTAACAGAAAAGGGTGGTTCTGTATCAATCCTAATGTATCCTAATTAAAAACATACTTAGCGTAATTTTATTCTTTCACTGAATGTTTTGAACTATTTAGACCACTGAAAGATGGATTAAAGTAATCTTTCCAAACATACTAATTTCAGTGCATATTTGTCAGACCTGTCAGAACAATAACAATGTATTTATTATTTTTAATCGCCCATACATCAGTCACACTGATCAGTTGCTGGGCAAAAATCTCTACCAGTTGCTGTACTGAAATGGCCTATAACAAGTCCAAGAAGTCCTATTGTGCTTGTTTCTGTTATATAGTTATAATCTATGACATCTGTGGATCATTATGTTAGAATTTGCACCTTTTAATTCGCAATATAGTAAGTAAGTAACTTTTCACAGACATATGTCACAAAGACGCTTTACAGATCATGATTCATCCACTCCACACTCGTGATAGTAAGCTATTATTGTAGCCGCAGCTGCCCTGGGGCTGTTTGTCTAAAGCGTGGCTGCCAATCTACGGCATAAGTCCCTCCGACCACCATCACTCAGCCACACACCACTTTCATACTAGGCAATGTGGGTGAAGTGTCTTGCCTAAGGACACAATAACAGTTTTTGCGACTAGCACCCCAATGTGGCACCTGATTTTCCCAGCGGTCTCCCATCCAAGTACTAACCAGGCCCAGCCTTGCTTAGCTTCAGAGATTTGACGGGATCAGGCTTTGACAAGCCGTGATGGCCACACTGATCCAGAATGACTTTATTAAAGAAATCTGCTGACTTCCAGGTTAGAAAACTGCAGTACCCAGTGGGAGCTGACGTTACCATAAATGTCGTCACAATAAACCTCTGAATAGCTGCAGATCACTCTAGAGCAGGGGTTTCCAACCTGTAGCTCGGGAGCTACCAGTAGCTCTCCACCCCCTTCCAAATAGCTCGCCAAGGGATTTCTGATTTATACATATTGCGTTAAATAACTCAAATTTAATCGATTAAATGCCTATTTCCTTTGTAAATGTATCATGCCTAATTTTATGCACTGATGACTGGATAATGTGTTATGTTTTATAGACATCTAACTGTCTGTCTCTTCGGCTTACCATGGCTCTTATATTTACAAAATGTCTGGTAATCGCTAAAATTAGTAGCTCTCTGGCATTTTCATTTTACTAAAAGTAGCTCACAAGAGGAAAAAGCTTGGGGACCCCTGCTCTAGAGAGCCACAGTTTTTTTTTTTGTTTTTTTTTTCATCTGTACCAAAATGACTATGTGACGCTGCACGTTTGAATCCTGCACGTATCAGAGTTTAGGAAAATAAACTTGGAGAATGAAATTAGTACAGAAAAGTGGGCATATGCTGGTGGCTGTGAAAATGGGGATTGATGGACAATATGGCGTCTTGAAAATAAGCGATTAAAGATTGCTCACACATGCACGAACCACTCCAAAAATAACTTCAAGAGGGTAAATGAGAAAATAGTAGATTTTGCATAATAGATCTGCTTTAAGTGAAAAGGAAGCAGGGTAAATTAAGGGCAGGCTGTTTCATAACGCATTCTTGGCAGATTCAATAAAAGAATTGTATATATATGTCCTTATATTAACCTTTCTTGTCTTGATTTGCAGTGAATAACACTCTCCCAGAAGCCGAAAAGGGTAAAGACTTGAGCAAAGAGCCTGAAAAGGGGCAGGAGACTGATATATACACCGACCAAGACATCACGAAAGTTAAAGAGAGAGGTCACGAAAACACAAGCGAAGACAAATCTGGCGGTGAGAGACGAGAATCCACTACCTCAAACACAAACTCTACGGCGGTGGACACGGAGGATAAATACACTGGGAATACTGAGGCTGACCCAGACCAAACATACAGCAAACCGCAGCCCACAGGGAGCACTAAAACAGAAATTGTCATCATAAAGGACAAAGGTCAAGAAGAGAAGGAACGCAAAGAGGAGCAGGTCAACGGAAAGAAAGAGAGAGACAAAGTTGGACCCAATGACACCAAACTGAGGACCGTCATAACAGAGGCAGACAACACACTGGAGATTTTTGACCTGGGGTTGACTAATATTACTGTTGCTGTTGATGTAAAAGACACCAAAGTGCAAAACAATACAATAAGTGTAGATCCGGTCAGGAAACTCTTACCCACAAGAATCAACATCACGCAGTTCACCATGTACCGGAGTACAGGGGGAGAGGGAAATGGCAAACCAAAGGAAAATAAAACAAGCAAAGATGAGAAGGGATCTGCAGGGAAAACAGCGGAAGAGAGGGAGAAGGAGAAAGAAAGAGAACCGAATCAAAGTATCAGTGGTGAGTAATGCAAGTGGTGTCTCTTTGTAGTGATTAATGAGTTATTAGATATTTAAAGGGCCCATATTACACTTTTTTATGAACTACATTATAATGTAGTTTCCTCATCACAAACATACCTGGAGTTGTGTTTTATTTCATTCACACATGTTTAACACACAAACCCTGCATTTTTAGACTGACTATTAGACTTTGTGATGTCATGTGGTAATATAAGAAGTGCTCCACTTCGTTTTTAAACTCCACATACCTTTCACTAGTATGATTTGGATAATTTCAGCCCTGGAATTTCCAATCTCTACTAAACAAAAAAGCTATCTTAAAACTTGAAACTTGAAATCGACATCTTCATCAGGTTCCAAGGTGCAATAGAGGCATTTTGAGCTTTGGAGATGTAGACAGACTAATAATAGGATTAATAAAAAGGGTTACTCAAACATGTGTGAATGAAACAAAACACAACTCCAGGTCTGTTTTCGATGATGACTCTAGGTATGTTTTCGATTAAAGCTCACAAGACTAAATTTTGTCTAATATTGAACCTTTAAGCAATACTTGTGCTAGTTGTACTAATATAGATATAGATAAAGAATATATATACATGTAGTATATCGTGTTATCTTGCCACATACTATTTCTATGTTCCCTCCTTTAAACAAACTAATCACGTTTTATAGCAATACCATCAATATCTACATGATTGGTTCTCAAACTGTGGTATGAAGGCTCCTTCTGGTGGTACACAGTCCTGTACAGTTCATACAGTTATGGTATGGGCAGTATACCAAAAAATGAAATTACAATTTTCATAGATCATAATTTTGATTAATCACAATTCATAGAATATAATATATTACCTTTAAGTGATAAATTAAGTCACATTTTGTTCTGAGAATTCATACTTCTCTATGGCATGTTAATTCCACCATTTTAGCAAGGGTGTAGTCCAATGTTTTTCTTGGTTAATTTAGTTCTGGAATGTTCTATTATAAACCTGATTACGATCTGGTGGTACTTGGAGAGCCAATTTTTCCATGTGTTTCTCTGTGTAAATGTTTGAGAACCACTTGAGTACACATTATAATGCATAATTATCAGATATTCATTTTAAACATACCAGCAGTTTGAATTTGACCTTTGACATCACCTGTATCTTGCGTGTCACCTCAGAAAAAGGCTGCCCTCCTCTTCCTCGTCTTTACAACGGATACCAGCAGGTGGTGTCAGGAGCGCAGCCTCTCACAGTGGAGTTCAGGTGTAACCACTCGTACGCGCTCAGTGGAGACGCTCAGAGAACATGTCAGGCAGATGGGACCTGGACGGGCCTGCAGCCTTTCTGTGTTAGAGGTAACAAAATAACTTTTCAGTAATTATTTCATTGCTTAAATATATAACATAAATAAACTAGGATGTTTTTGAAATCATAACCAGGATTCATTGAGGACGAGAAAATACAATTGGTCAGTGCATCATATTTTCTCCAGTGGTACAGGGCTAGTAGTGGTTTATAGTCAATTCATAATTTAAAAGCAAACCTCTAGAAATCATTTTTTTTTGTCATTATATAAATTTAATGACTTGCATTCTAGTAATAAAAATGTATACTATTTATATGAATGTATTTTGGTGAATTATGAATATTTTGAAGCTCGTTGCCAAGAACATTATATAGTGGTATGAAGAAAAGAGCAAAGAACTTTTATATATGTGTTTGTAGTCTTGAATCCATATCAATAATGTGGTTATGTTGCTATGTCTTTGTAAATATATTAGTCTACAAAAATAGTAACAGTAGCTTTCTCTATCTGCAGCATGTCGAGAGCCCAAAGTGTCAGAACTGGTGAAACAGCGGGTCCTGCCCCCTCAGGCCCCTTTTAGGTAAGTAGATTCTTGTCAGAACACAACATATTTTATTATTTTTTAGATCCATCTCTTATAGACCTTACGGATGACAAACATGTCCTCAATATAACATTAATCAGTGTCTTCATATCCCTTTCAGAAAGACCCCAGTCCATAAGCTGTTGAGCAGGCAGCTGCGCTCTGATGGGTCTCAGCTCTCTCAGCTCCCTCCAGGCTTCCACCACCTCTACACCCACATCGAGTACGAGTGTGCCTCCCCCTTCTACCACCACTCAGGCAGCTCCAGGCGCACTTGTCTCAAAACGGGGAAATGGAGTGGCCGTCATGTCTCCTGTTCGCCAGGTGAGGGCAGCAAAGAACCATGTATTTTAGGAGAATATTTCACTTGGCAGAACTTGAAGAGGCGTCTCAGTGGGGATTGCTCTGTTTGTGTTCATGAAATGTATTGTGAAAGAAAATAAAGAACAAAAATCCAGTTGATCTAATAATATTAATATTCATCTAATATTGCTGTTATTACTATAATTATTGTACCTAGAGCATTTTCTGTTTGAGAGAAGAACAAAATAAATACGCAGGGTTTGTGAGTTAAACATGTGTGAATGAAACAAAACAACACTCCAGGAATGTTTTTGATAAGGAAACAACATACATAACATAACATACATCAGAAAATACCATAATATGGACACTAAACTGTATAGAACTACTTTACAAGCAGTAATTTAATTGCTATTTCATATTCCCATATACTGTTAGTTATAATTTAATCTGTTTTAATGTGACAGACAAATCTTCCACTGAGAATCCTCTAAGTTATGTCTATTTTTCTTAGTTTTAAAACTGAAATGTTTTAGTATCTTGTGTCATCTTTTAATTCCATTGCAAACCTTTTATCTCACAATATAAGCAGCTCTGTAAGTTCAGCAGCAGATAAAGGGGAACATGATTGAATTGGGATTTGGGGCCCATTATAATGCTCTTTCAGTTAATTATGTGTGTCTATGTAAGACACAGCTTTGTATTCTGAAAACCGGCTTCCCAAAATCCAGTCGAGGCTAGTTTGATGGAAGACGCACAGCAGCATCTGAGATTAAAATGTTGACACTGTCTCATTTGGAGGCTTTAATTTCTCCTCTCCTCTATCCTCTCAATTCATCCCTTCTTCTTTGGCAGTTTGTGGGAAGCATCCAGCCTTTGACCCGGAGAGGCCAGGAGAGGCACACTGGCCCTGGCTCGCTGCCATATACCGGCGGTCCGGCGTCGGAACTGCGAGCGGGGTGTCCAAGGCAGATGGCCAGGCTGGGACCCCCAAGAAACATGGAGGAAGTGGCAGCAGCTCTAGCAGTGAACCGGCTTCTCAGTGGCAGCTGGTGTGCAGTGGGGCTCTGGTGAACCAGCGGACTGTGGTAGTGGCCGCGCACTGTGTGACCGAGCTGGGCAAAGGGTACCCCCTGGATCCGGATCGGGTCAAAGTGGTGGTGGGCATGAACTATCGCCATGACAACAGGGAGAGTAAGGCTCTGCAGCACCTGAGGGTAAGTGCAGCTGTTTGACCCTCTTTAAACAGCTCTTTTTCAGATGTAGAAAACAGTTTAGATGATGGTTGAGATATAATTATAATACTAACAAGATTTGTGAAGAAGGTAATTGTTTAAGCATGTCACTAATGAGGTCTGCTTTTATGAGCCGCAAGACTTGATTTTATTTTTTCTGAATGATACAAATACTGGTAGTAGCACTTGTCACTTGCACAGATGTCATGTGGATACTTTTCACTGTGCTTTTTCAGGTTGTGGATCACATATTGCTTTACTAGATTTTATGCATTACATAATTATTAAATAAAAACTATAATTTCCACTTTTAACAAATTTTTATTGATCGCTTAATATAATAATTCAGTTAAATCATATCCATATGTTTTGTATATTTTTATATTGTGTGTCTATTAGGGCTGGGAATCATTAAGAAGTTGCCGATACGATACATACCTCGATACATAGGCCACGATACGATACATATCTTGATACAGTGCACTTTCGATTCGATACGGTTCAATAAAAAATAATGGCTGTGATACCAAAAGAATGTCAGATGTGTTGTATAAAAGAGTTTCCTTCCTCTGAACAAGCAACAAAACTGTGGCTCTGTAAATTTACTTATTTCGTAAAATATTCCAAAAAATACTCTTGGCGATATATGGATACAGCAGCCCACGATATTAATACTGTATCATCACATTAAATGATACGATATTTTGATATTTTTGCACATCCGTAGTGTCTATTATGTTTGTGTGTTTGGCCTCCTCAGTGCTTTTGCGTAACGGTCTGCTTCTTATCATTCCACCTTCAGGTCTCCTCCATCGTTGTCCATCCAGACTATGACCCTCTCATCCTGGACTCAGACTTGGCTGTGATCAAGCTGCTCGACAAAGCCCGGATAGGCGAGAAGGTTCTGCCCCTGTGCCTCTCTGATGGACAGGACTTGGAGGTACCAGGGGGGCAGGGGCTGGTCACAGGCTGGTCTCCCATTCCTGATCCCTCGCTTGGCTCCGGTGAGAAGGCCCGGGTGGGACTGGTTCACCTCACTGACGTCGTCCCATGTGAGAATCAGTACGCTCGAAACGGCGTACCGGTTAGCGTCACAGACAACATGCTATGTGGAAGCCAGAAGCCTGATTACGGAGACTCCAGTATATGCCCTTCAGACACTGGGGGCATTTTGGTGCTCCCTGGACTTGTGCAGTTTCAGTCAGACAAGAAACAAGCACAAGGAGAGAGCACAGAACCCTGGAGACTGCTGGGATTGGTCAGTTTTGGCTATGATCAGGGTGAGTGTGACCCTGACCTCTACACGGTCTACACACGAGTGGACAACTTCAAAGACTGGATCCAGGCTCACATGAAATAGGATTCGCTTCAGGATATCTGTTACTGAGTCTCCGAGCCAGTATTCCATGTAATTATTTTGGGCTCTTGGACAGTAAACTATTGCACTTTAAGTAAGCAGCGTATGTGCCTGTTAACAAAATAGAAATGATTGGATCTAATACTTTTACAAATTATAGACAAACATACTAACTACAGCCACAGGTGGTCAGTAAGGAGGTATTGTTTACTTGTAGGTACCTATTTTTCATAGTATATAAGGGCTTTGTAATAAATTATTGAACTTATAACTACTGCTAGTTTGTATACAGATTAGCAAGGTACATTATAGTGCTCTATACCTTTTCCATTGTGAGATAAGGCCAATGACTAAGAGATGCCAGTCATTTCCAAGTGCTCTGAGATTTCTTTTCAAATCAGTATTACATGGATCACTTATACCTGCAAGCTTGTGCAAACTGTGCTTTTGCAAATAGACAAGCTCCATTTTTTGGTATACGAGTGTCAAAATGACATCAAAAGTATATCATATCATAACTTGGAGTAAAAATATGTTAAGACAAAGTACTAAACTGCTCATCTTGTACAAAAATGAATAAATAAAATAAAAACTCTCCAGCTAAAGATGACAGGTTATTAGCCTATGATAGATAACGTGACTGGGACTTTGTTTTAAAAGTTTCAACACTACTTAATTTAAAAGTGAGATTATCCCCTCAACGTCCAACAAGTTATAGCGCTTTTAACGAGATTATTGCTGTTAAAAGTCTTAAGAAATGTTTCATAGCTGACATGACAAGAGTTTTGGAAATATTCACACTGTTTTCACAACATTTCCTTGATCTTTTCCTTTTTCATGCAACACTGGACGATGGCTCAAACTGCAGGGGGCGCTAGTACATTAAATGTGCTGTGTAGCATTCTGTTCTTCTGCACACTGTTCAGGTTCAGAACAGACTTGAAAACCACCAGCAAACCTCCTCTGGCTAATATAAAGGTTTGTAAATATGCTGCAACTGACTGTATCATTGTAACCTTTGGGAGTTGTACATAGTGTAAGAAAAGAATAATGATTAAAACCGTGTTAATAAAATAAAAATCGACAAACATTTTCGCTCTGTGCTCATTCTTATAGAACTAATGAACCCAGGTTAACGTAGTAATGCTGTCACTACTACAAACAGGACATATTACTTACAGATCAGTTCCCTTTTCTGCGCTCAAATGAAATCAATTACATCTATTATTCATATGTATGTTAAAATAGACTGGGTGTCTTTTTGAGGGGCTCTAAAATCACCAGAATACCACGATAATCAATAAAGTTTGGCAGCTTGTGGCCTTTGTCCTACATAGAAAATATCACAATGTACAACAACGCAGATAAGTGTAGCTGCTATACTGAAAGAGACATAGGTATATATGGAAAACAATTATAGATCCCTGTTTGTTCATCAATAATAATGTGGTATTTAGATGTGACAGCTATTAACGTGCCTTGTACATTGCTCTGCCCCTGATATTAAAGTGATAAACATCGTATTACTCGTGATATTGGAAATTAACTACAGCAATCAGCGCTGCCATCCATCACATCCAGGCTTATTATTGTGCATGAGGTACACGGTTGCCAGGGCCGACAGAGGCATGCAATCACAAGCGACCAACGATTAAGTGTTTTTTTCTCCTCGATAGGCAAGAGCACTGCCATTTTCCACATAAACAGCTCATATATGTTTTAGGACTATCACTTAAAGGTACATTGTGTAACTTTTTTGGTGTCTGCAATCTGCTTTTCATGGAGGTGTTTTTGCTTCGTCTCAAATGCTCCACAGCACGGCGTTAAATTGATTTATCTCCATGGGGACAAGCAAGTGAGGTTCATTTGGTCTTCTGATAATTTATGTTATTAGGTTCTTTTTTCAGACCAGAAGGTTGTTTTCATACCTGATAGTTTCGACTGCTTCCTGCGGTCTTCCTCAGAGTGGTCACGTGATGTTACTGTGACATATCCGGTCAGCTGATTTAAACAGGTTTTGACTTCCTACCGGTGACATGGGACTATAAACGGGGACAAGGGGGCCTTTTTACTCTCACACACCTGAGATACTTACCAAGTGGCAGCATAGATTCCACTGTAAGATCTTTCTGTATTCCAAATAGGAAGTAAGCATGGGCGCGCTCCTGGCTCCAATTCACTTTGTATCGTAAAAATGTCGCCCTTCTCTCTGTAACTGCTGCTGGTCTTAAAATGTTCATATCTACCCGCACTGGTGTTTTTATTTTGGTGTATGAAACTCAGCTCTAAATTCACCCTATAGCTGCTGTCCTGAAGAAGTCAGTCATCCTTCCTCCACCTGTAGGAAGACAGCGGCAAAACCTGTTTAAATCAGCTGACCGGACACGTCACAGCAACATCACGTGACCATCTGAAGAAGACCACTAGTCAGGAGTCGAAACTGTCAGATATGAAAACAAACTTTTGGTCTCAAAAAAGAACCTAATAGCATACAAGTGACAACACTATGTTAAGATACAGCGCAGGTCAGATCTGTGGAGGAGCTGCCCTGTTCATAAGACTGTACGCTTTTCAAGGTAATTTTTTACAATAAAAACACCCAAAATCAACAAACGCAATCTTCAGTTTTGTGCAATACTGTGGAACATTTCTGGCAAGTAATAGCACCTCCATGAAGACAAGAAGAAAATACTAATCGTAGTGGTTTGGACCAAGCTGTACCTGTTTGACTCCTGCTTTCAGTGAGGTTGTTGGTTCAATTATTAAGCAAACTACAATATCTGTAGTCTCACAATCCAGAGCCCTTAGTGAGGAGCCAATAATAATGAATGGGAAAATAATAACAATTCCAATAATCTGTAATATACAAGACAGTTAAACATGTTGCCATTCAATTCCACAGCCACATCCTTTCAAATAGCAGGACAATGTGTTTTGCTCAGGGATACAATAATAGCATGCATTATTTCAGATTTTCTGGTAATAATTAGTTACTTGGTTACGCTTAGACTCTAGTTATGAAAATATTAAACTACAGCAAACAGTGTAGAATTCTTCTTTTCTTGCAGTGCTGTTATCTTATCCGGTAAAGCCAAACCCATCTGAGCCATCTTTTAAAAGCCTTTTGTTCATCCTCCCACCATGTACTCTCACTTCACAACAGCGCAGTGGACGCTCTGTATTTTTCAGATGAGAACCCCTTCACTGGGCCAGTTCACAGGCCCCGGTCCACTCTCAGGCCATCTCCACTCAAAACATGGCCTACTCTTTCCTGAACCTGAGCAGACAGTGAGAAAATTCCACTGTGAGAACTCCATAGTGTAGTGAGAGGAACTACTTAGCACTGTGCTGCCCATTTGGAGCGGGGATAGTAGGGGCCAGTGTGACGGGGACTTAGTATTCTAGTCTGGCATCAAAGGCTGTGGTGAAAGTAGGAGACCAAGCTCTGACTCTACATTTTAACCCCTTACTGCAATTTCAGTTGATTTTCCCTAAAGAAAGCCTGACTAAATCTACCTGAAAAAACTGAAAACAATTTTTGAAACATGAAAATCCGATTTCAAATACCACCTAGATTTTTATGGAAAAAGTCGTTGGTAGGTATCAAATACATTATGTTGAACCATTATTGTCCCTCGAAAATTCACATTTAAACACATTTCTGGACATAATTTTTTGATGTTACATGTTACAAATTGAAGCATAAGTTTCATTCATCCATTCATCACAGCATTGACAAATGAGAGTGTGTGTGTATATATATATGTGGAATGTCAGACTTTTTAAGTACAGCAACCAGGCAACCCATATCACTTTCTCATCAAAATCCAAGCAGTGAAGTAAACATGTGTCATGACGTACCTGAGCATTCCCATACTGAAAATTGATCCATTCATAAACAATGACAGATGGGTGAAGTGTCTTGCCCAAGGACATCATTGTAGTATGCATGTTTTCAAATGAACATAAAAAACAGAACCAGTTTCTTCAATAAAAAAAAAAAAATCTTGATAGTATGGGACAAAGAAACATTGGCTGTGTGAATCTATGTGACATTACAGAAACAACTAATCAATCCGGACAAAAGCCATTGCATAATAATCAGTTTATTTATTATTTATTTATATATTTATCTATTAATTATTATCCAATTGCCTCATTTAAAGGTGTACTGTGTAACTTTTCTTTTCTGGTTGGGAGTCTGCAGCCTGCATGAAGGCTGTATTGTCTCCAAATGGAGAAATTTGTCATGAACATCAGAAGCAGAATGAAAATAGACTTCATCCATACAAAAAGGTACAGATCCTAATCTGTCAATAAGGAAATTCATTCTCTGCGTGCATCTCATTCTTCGGTGCTGCTGGGACGACCTTTCAGGAGCAGGAGGTGCTGCAGAGCTGCACGCAGAGACCCATCTACAGATCTGCCCAGAGGAAATCCACCAGACATAGGATGAAACATGCAAACTTTGCACAGAAAGGCCTGGACAGCTCTGGGCTCAGAATGGTGGTCATTATGCAGCTAATGCCACTAGGCCAGATTACAGATCAGATCTGTGGAGAGATAAGCCTGCTCACAGTAGGAATGCATGTTTTCAAGGTGTTTCTGAGCAACAAATATCAAACACTTAATAATTTATTGTCCAGAAGATTATTATTATTATTATTATTATTATTATTATTATTATTAGTAGTAGTAGTAGTAGTAGTAGTAGTAGAAGATCTGTTATGCAATCTCAACCAACCAGTTATAAATCATAACAAATTTCTCAACCAAAAGGGAACACAAGTAGACGTAACATATCAGAACACGTTGAAACATGATTCTTGCCTTGCCTTTTCTACATTTGTTATCCAGCATAATATGCACTTCAATTGACCTTTTGTTGAACATCATTGCACACTTGAAACAAATGAGTGTGACTGTTGTCTTCGAGGGCTGTTTGACTGGAAATAGGTTCCATATCCATATTGTAATAATAAAAAGGCATTCACTTTTCTCGACAAAGTCCCACATTCATACAGACAATGTGAGTGTTTTGCTCAAAGAATTGGTTTCTGAGACTGAATCATCAACCTTCAGATTAATGAGCAAATACTGAGCTACAGGAATAGCTTTGTCGAAATATTAGAGTCTAACATCTGCCCTAATGTATTTTGCCTTGTTAAATTTATTGCCCTCGCTCTTGGGCTGTACTCACCCCCTCTCCCTCACTACCCCAGATGCCCCGGAGCGAGCATCACTTTTACTCATAGAAACTCATATAGAACCTTTCAGCAGTTCTTTGCATTATTCATTCACTACATATTGACACCCTTGGTTCTATGCGTGTTCTACAAAAGGCACTGGATTAATGGTTGGATATCTGTTGGTACGTGCCGCTCCTACACACATGTGGCATTATGATTTATTAGAGCTGGGATCGGTGGAGCCCAGCAGCAGCTGCAGCTCAGAGAATAGGCTGTAGATTTAGCAACATGCAGCTACTGGAGGATGGAAGAGGGGAATGGGGATGAAATATATGCAACAAGCAATTTACATGTTGGCTGCGCATATGCTATGTTTAAACTGGGAATGTATAAATCCAGTCGGAAAAGCCTGCAGTGCGTTTGTATTGCTTCTGTCTATGGTCTGCGGTCTAAGATGGAGATGACAATAATTGCTAAACACTGCTGAGGTGTTGATACCCAACAGACAGAACAGGGTACTGCTTGAGGCCCCTGAGCACTAGGACTTATGAGCGACTCATGTTTTATGTTTTATGCACTGTTAAGGTAAAACTGTGCTTAATGTAACCCATGTTGTGGTTTGCTGTTAGCTTATGGACTCTGTCTGAAGAACTGTGATCCTCGTCACAATGAGTGAACTATGTGAATATGAAATATTGTGTTTTGGCAGCTCGGCGATGTGATCAGCTGTTTTTTCTGTGAGAATGGTCAGCCTGACAGACCTAACGGGTCGTTCAGACTCAGTGCTCCCTGGAAAAATGTCTTGTGTGTGAAAGTAGGAATGACCTTATAGATCCTGTGTTTGAACTTGTTGGTTTTCTGCTCCTCGTCCTAGTTCATGAGTTCATTTTACAGTGAGGGCCGATCAGTCCTTCCAGGTCTGTGATTCGGACCATGCCTCAGGAAGTAACATCGTCTGATATGTGACATGTCATCAAGACTGGTGACAGTTAAGGTTATAGACAGTCCAGCCTTCATGAAGATGGATGGCAGCTAGCAGCCAAAACATATCTACATGTCTATATATCTATAACATTTATCTATCTAAATACATCGGACTAACAAAGTTGTTCGCCTAAGTAACAAGTAACCTAAGTAACAATCAAACCGAAGACAACTAAATAAAAGTTACCAGGCTGTTAAGTGAAATGTAAACTAAAGTCTTACTACATCTTACTTTTATAATGATGTTTGATCTTTTATTATGTGATGTGATCACATACAGACAGATACAGGATATACTATAACACTATTCTTCTCCATAGCTACAAGACTATGACACTGGGTTTTTCATTTCCAAAAAGCACATCTTTACCTTTTTATTGATGATACCATGAAAATCCAACTGTGCCGTGAAGTCCCACAGTACCATAACAATTAGCCCCAACAGCTGGTAGTTTTACTGCAGTATCAATCTTTCAGTAACAGCTCATATGGGACATGTAAGCAACTTTCACAACACTGTTCACTGAATGCCAAATTGTATATTAGAGAGTTTTAGTTAGTTAGTTTTATAGCATTTTTATTCATATTTTAAAGTGATTGCTGTCAGTTACTTAAGCCATAAGATTAAAATTGTCCAATGTCTAGTCTTTGAAGTTTGTGGATATAAGTCTAGATATCTCTGAGGCTGTTTGGTGTGAACACAAAAATCAACACCTGTTTTTATAATGCTCTTTAGGAGATCCTGATTGATATTCCACATTATGGTTCCCTGGTTCAGCTCTTTAACTGCCCAATGTAAAACTAAACTTGAAAAACTGGTAAATAGGGCCATGAAGGTGATTGACAGGACATTTTTTCAAACCTCTGTGCTCGCTCAGGTCAGACGGATTGTCGGGAACCCCTCTCACCTGTTACATCGAGAATATGAAATGGTTCCATCAGGCAGGTGCTATCGAGCGCATCACTTTAAGAGTAACAGATATAAACTCTTATTTGTGCTCACTTCTGTTGCACTGTTGAACAAATCTACACAACAGGCACACTTTATATTAAATGGTGCAATCATTATTTGTGCAATAGGGCAGGTGCAATAACTATTTGTGTGATAGGGCTGGTGCAATAACTTAGTCAGTTTATGGTTGTGCAGTGTACAAATGGAAAATGGACATGAATAATGGGCACATGTATCTTGTGATTGTTGTCTGACTGTACTGTATGTGTGAGTGTAACTGTGTTTTTAAGCTGCGTGCAGTGAGCCCAAGACAAATTTCCCTTTGGGACAGTGAAGTTTATCTTATTCTGCAATACTATTTAGAACCAGCAGTGTGTGTGCGATGCCAAATATGCCTGGATTGTCTCTGCATTCCTTTGGTTTACCCATAAGCCATAGTCACACCTCTCTGTGTTTCCGTCCAGTCTCAGTGTTTGGGTCATGGCAGTTTTATGACATCTGCTTTTCTCTCACAACACCTCCACCACCCTGATAACTGCTGCACGCTCCCACCTTCTGCAGCAATCCCACACTCATATACACGTGCATGGTCAACCAGTAACTCTGCATATCTCACACCAAGTATACGCAGCATTTGCCTGGGCTGTTTATTGCTTTTTGCGTTTTTATTTGAAGGGCAAATTTTGAAAAGAGGGCGGCTCTAAATTTGTTCTTTGTGGAGAGGTTAGATATTTGTAAAACTCAAGACCCATTTATTTAGACTAACTTTTCTCAGTATGATTCACAGTTTTTTTTGCTTTTGACTGTTTTAATCTGTGCTCTGGAAAACATCTTTGATTGTCCTGAAAAGTGCTATATAAATGAAATGTGTGATTAGTATTTATTATTTATTACATATTTTAGATGCTAAAGTGAAAACCTGACCATGCACTCCTCAAGTTTTTGACCAGCCACATTGGGCATTGCTGAATTATGTGCTTGGTTTATATAAAGTGTTATAACAACAGCAATAAATAAAATTATTGAAACCAAGAAACAGTAGTGCCAATGTGATGTATGTTTGTTGTTAAGATAATAGGGTTGTTAAATGATGAAAACTAGGCTTGGTTGTTTTAGACAAAGATAAATGTTTATGGCGGAGAAACGTGGAGGGTCATATTTTCTTGCTGTAATGGCCGATATTACGCTTTTTTCTGATCTATGTTATAATGACTTTTGCTTTGTTTCATTCACGCATTTAATACACAAACCCTGAATATTTAGGCTGTGTTCTCCACCTTGTGATGCAACGTGATAATACAGGAAGAGCTCCACTGTGTTTTTAAACTCCATACACCTTCACAAGAATCATTTGGATGATTTCAGCCCTGGAGTTGCCAATCTCTACTGAACAAAAGGTAAAAGGAGCTGTTAACTTGAAAACTAATGCTTCATGAAATCACAAGGTGGAAGAGAGCATTTTAAGCTTTGGAGATGTAGACCAGTGTTTACCAAACTTTTTTATTTTTATTTTAAAAGTCACAAACCTTCACATCCCAAATCAAAAGACATTCTTTGTAAATCACAAAATAAAGGTGGATTTGACCATTATTGAACATTAATGAGGATATTTTATTGTTGACAGAGTGATTGTGTCTCTCTGAACAATTAGTATTACTCAAGTTTTAAACAATATGCAATAAAAGATATTCATAAGTCGCTTATTTGGACATTAAATGTAGCCTGTTTCTTTTTCTTTTCAACATTCAACTGAACCGGCAATACTGGAACAAAATAGTCAATAAAATAATTACAAAGAGATTTGAAATTATACAAAACATGTCTTAACATTTCAACCTCCATGCAGATCGTGACAAGTCAACCATAGAAAAAAAAATCTCTTGCGGCCCGCCTGAGAGTCACAACTCAGTCTTTGGGAAACAATGACGTAGATTAACTAATAATGCAGGATTACTCAAACATGTGTGAACGAACCAGAACAGTCAGTACAGCTAATTAAAACAATTTGAAACATGTAAGGGTCTAGATTTGAGCAATATCCCATATTTCTTGCCTTCCCCGCCAATCTCTACATTCTGTTTGAATCGTTTGAATGTAGCAGGGCCCGAAAACTGGAAATAAATCAGAAAATAACTGAAAATAAAAGCAAGCAATCAACGGTCTGAACTTGAAACGGTCCAACCATTGCCACTAATTTGTAGCATGTGTCTCTCAAACGTCTCGTCTCGAAAATTCTTGTAATATTCAGAAGAAAAACATATAACTTCTCTGCGTTATGTATTTTTTCATTTTTTACTTATAAGCCACCATGTTTGTTTTGGCCAGAAAAAGCCATGTGTTTTTCTGATCATGTAATCCACCTGTCAGTGTCGTTCCTTAAGTGCATTATATTTTCATTAACTGCTGTCATGTTTTTACTAGATATTTGCCCTGCGTGATATTGTGCAATACATGTATGAAACCTGATAACACAGGGTGTGAGTGGGAATAACAAATACATAACAAAAAAACAATGAATTCTTTCCTGATGAAACATGATTCATTGTGAACCTATCCAAACTCCAAACTAAATCCAGCTTGTCCAGACAATAGACCAGAACCATCTTGTTACAGGCAGAGCTTTTGGAAACGGGCAAACCCACTACCCAGGACCATTATTATACTGTACATACAATGCATCTTCATAAAGCTCAATGCACACAAAACAGTAACAGTGAACAAATGCCAAAGCTGACCTATTTTTCTGAATATAAAACGCATTAAGTCGAATTTTGGTGATGGTCAAAACAGTAGGAGCTGAGCCAACGACGTTAACAAATCTGTGATGCACAATCTACTACAAGAAGATTAGATACAGAGGCTCCATTTATCATTTGTGGGTAGGATTTAGATAATTAATAAGTTCCTGAGTTGCCACAGGTGCATCAGTGAGCTGCAGCCCGCACTAGAATATGTCTGTCTTTAATTCCCTTGGTAAGACAAGTTCTTATGTAACAGAGGTCCAACAGCGCTCACCACACACGGACACACTGGGTTCCCAGAAGAGGTTGTGTGAAAAACACAAAGAGGTGATGGCGAAAGAATGGCAAAGTAAAGAGCGGGGGAGAGGTGATGTTACAGGCAGCATCTTCGACCAACGGGAGCTGGATTCCCATGCACAGAGAGACAAAGAGGGGGAAACGGGCGGAGGCGTGTGAGAGTGGGGTGGGGGCAGTAAAGCGGCGGAACGCTGAGGTGAGGCACAGCTCATTCAGTGGGATCGTTGAGCTGCGGAGCTCCTCGGATTGTACAGGCAGAGGACCGCTGTGACTGTGCGCGGACCGCGGTGCAACCTGCAGCTCGCTGTGGCGCGTGAGGCCAGACAGACCCTGTGAGGGGACTACACCAAAAACTTTTTACTTCGCCGTGCTTTTGATCAAAGGTAAACTGCACTGATTTTCTATTCTCATATCAGCACTCGACATAAAAGAAATGTGTGTCTTTCACTTGATGCAAATTATAAGATATATCAATCACTTAAAATACTTAATGTTGTATGTTTTGGAAAGATAACATGACATATAAGTTTGAACAACATGAAGCATGAGTATCACCTGTAATTGCAATAGCTGGGGCACAAACAAACACCTCACTCCAGACACCTCAACAGCATCAACATCCACATCTCCTGCGTGCGTAAATTACCGAATAATTGATTCACTGCAGATAAAACGATATGATTAACCTCTCGATCCGACAACATTTCAATTATTGTGTACCACTTAAGCCTGGGGACCTGTAATGCGCGCTGGGATTGAGACTGAGGCACCGGAGAGAAAAGAAACAGAGATGCGCTGCGCCCCAACACCTGCAGGACAGTCCTAGGATGAAGTTTGAACAAGATCTTTTTTTACTACAGTGGATTTTAATGGAAAAACTGCACTTCTACTTAAAATATCTTAATCATGTTGAGTGCAAATATTTCCTTTATCTTGCACTGTACAACCTCACCCATTCTCACAACCCAGAGTGTAAATCATCAAGAATAAATACGTTCATCTTTTAATCTTTATTCTGCGGTTCCAAAACATGCAACAAGTTAAGTTCCCTCTTATTTTCAAAGTTTGTGACAGTAGAATTTCAAATGCACTTCTGTGACTGAAAAATCTCGCGTCCTTTGGCGGAGCTGTGCACAATCAGACGTTTTCTTCAGATCAAAGGTGTGCGCTGTTTCACACGAGCTCCTGGATGTGTAAAGCCCGCGGTGCGCTCACTATCGCCACCCACCTCTGGAGCCAATCACCGCGCCTCTTTCTCTACTTCATATTAACGCGCGCGCACTGCAGCCACACGCACGTACACGCATGTTTACCGACGCGCTTTTTTTTTTTTTTTTTTTTTTTTTTCCAACACCACCATCAATGTCACCATGGAAACTCAATCCAAGGCAATCTCAGTTGATCATCTTCAGGTCTTATGGAAAGCATACACATACACGTTTTGCCATTGTGCATTGTTTTGCGTGGAGGAGACCTTGGACCCCGTAAAAGGCTGAGGCGATTGTCCATGTGATAATGCGCTCGCCCCTGAACTGTGGCGTTTGCTGTTGTACATGAATGAACACATAAGCAGACATGGGAGGGGAGGCTCACACATGCTTAAAGGCTGGATGATTCATTTAACATATAAACGCATGGCCTAAATCTGTGCAGTGTGGGCGGATTTTATCAACTGTAGAGCCAAGATATTCCCAGAAGAGTTGTATTGATGCATGGGGGTCTGTCTGGGCACATTATGAACACGTTTGTTTACAAGCTCATTAGTGAGAAGAAAGGAAATTCCACATTAACTTTTTATGTTAGAAATCATGCATTTTTCACATCAGCTGTAATCAAAACCTTATTTATTTTCTTATTTAATATTGTATTGCTTTCTGTATTGATGCTTCCATGATGGATTCCACCTAGTGCCTCCGCTCAATTTCATTTCTTTACAGTGATCAGGTCAGGAATCAGAATACACTAGATGGTTCGCAAAAAACCCGGAAGTGTGAGTTTGGGCACCAGCCAATCAGTGAAGAGCCATACATTCTGTGTTGGCAACGATTCCTGAGATCGAGGATTTAAAGCCGGAACAGAGAATGTTTAGTGAATTTTATCAAGGGGAAAGACGTTATTGCCCTCTTTCCTACGGGATTTGGCGCATTACCTATGTCACGACCAAACAGCAACGATTGGTTAAATGAAAAAAGAGGGAATGAATTCTAATGCTGCGAGGTCAGATGGTTTCTACAAAGTGAAACCGGCTGATGAATGAGGCAAGGATTCTGTGTATTCAGTCAAAAAATGAGTCCTAATGATGGCCATTTTGATTTTTAAACAGTTTTTCAGTCTTTTCACATTCCCAAATCAAAATCCTTTCTCAAAAAAGAAAAACCTTCTGTACCCAAAATACATTTCCAGCTCAGCCTTTATAGATCCTCATCATAAATCATACCCAAAATCCAGAAAATAGCAAAGGAAATATACACGAAATTATGCTTATTCCTAACTCTTTAGCCTGTCTCTTTCCTCAGTCAGATGTCCAGACAAGGCCCTGTAGCTTTACCCAGAGTTCACTAACAGTCCAAACCATATTTCTCTCCTTCAACCATCTGTGAATGTGTTTAATTAGGATAGACTCCACTTTGAGCCGAGGGAAATCCAACATCCATGTTTGTGTGGCTTTGTGCTTAACAGACTGTGAGAGATGCTCCCACCGGGGGGAGGGGGAGTCAGCCAGCCCATCGTATCCGCGTACACAACGGAAAAGACAAGAACTACACTAGCTTAACCAAAATCAATACGGCGTCTAAGTGATAGCCTCTTCATTGACTGTACATTTGAGAGGAAAATTAAATTCGGACAATCAATCAAAATGGGGATGGATCAAATGGCGGCTAAGGTTTTGCAATTTCACCGGGAAAGTCATTAGAAGGTTTAAAGGGAATTACATTGACACAGAAAGATTGGTAGAGTAGTTTAAATAATGATAATTCAACAAGGAAATGGAAACTACAGTTGCTGAGATACATATAGACCAAAAACGTAACATAATTATCCCCAAAAAAGTATTCTAAATGCAAAATATTGTTTAAAAAAATGAACTGCAATAAAGAAATAACAGAATACAACACTTAAGGTAGTTAAGTTGTACCAATAATGAGACATAGAAGCTCATCATTCAAACCTTGACAGCTTAAATATCATCGTAGTATCTTAAAATAAGCCCAAATTTCCCACTAGCACAAATAAAAGTACCAAAAAACTATTGTTCTATCTGTCTGCCATAGTCAATTTGTACCAGTGCGAGATGGAGTTGTGATGTTGCACCCGCAGAGGAGTGAGAACAGTGAGAGGGGTGCTTATGGTGATGTATAGGATCAGGTCTATAAGAGGAGGCAGAATTATGGTCTCAGAATGGAGTGGGTTCGGAAGTAGACTAGGCACACAGTACATTTTTCTCGCTGGCATTTACTAGATTTCGTGCTTCAGGAGGTGGGAGCTGCTTGACAAAGAGTGGCAGTACAGTGCGGTGAACAGTTAGGTTGGAAAATAAGATTCACGGCGTTTGTAATTTGATAATTGCAGCCATTTAAAAAGCCATTTGAAAGAGATTAGTTGGAGCAAGGATTGATTGTGGGTATGGGTCTGCACAGTATACTGCAATTATTTAGGTAATGAAATGTCTTCTGAAAAAAGAAAAGAAAGAAAGAAAAAAAGAAAAGAGTTGTTAATGCAGTATAGCAGACCTCTACAAACATGTTATTATTCTGTTCTTGTTCTGATTTCAGTCTTCTCTGAATGTTTAATAGTACTCAGGAACATCAAGCTCTTCTAGTTCGGTCACTATTTTTAAGAGATTCGTTGTCAAATATGATTCATTTTGGAACATTTTTTGAGTGACCAGTAATGACTTTTGGGTTTACTGGAGTATTTTAGATTTTAGGTCAGGGGTGTCAAACTCAAATTCACACTGGGACTAAGTCGTGGGCCAAACTAAATATTTATTGAAAAATTTCAACAACATCTGCATGTTTCTCTTCTTTCGAGATATGTAATGTTAAACCTTTTCTTATTAAAATAATTAATAATAGTTTTGCTTAAACACTGAATCCAAAACAAGCATGATATAAAATAATAACAACATTTTAAATAAATAATGTCTAGTAATCTGTAGCCTGTGGGCCAGCTCTAATACATATTTGATATGATCTCGTGGACCAAATATAATTATATTGCAGGATAAATTTGGCCCCCGGGTCTGAGTTTGACATGTGTGCTTTAGATGATGACAGAATATCTTTCCAATTGCAATATAAGATGAGTGCCTTGGTGGAGGTGTACACTCTTTGATTCTGTAGTGTAGATTTGTACATTTATCAAAGCAGTTCTATTACATTCCATGATACGATCCGAGTCGAGCATTATTGTGTGCATGAAGTGAATCACAGTTCATTTATATGTGATTAAGGCCGGGGTTATAATGGGGTGTCAATGTCTCTCCAACTGTGAGTGCTTCTATTCGCCCATTCACCGCTCTCCTCCTCAGCTCTGGCCCTCCTCTGGCACTACGAGCCTCCTAGTACTTGAGTAATCCTCCTGGGAACTTGTTGATGCTGCCAAAGAGCCATCCAAACCCTCTTTTTACACTCATTCCCCACTTAGCCTTCGCGTTTTCTTTCACCTTCATATCATACCATTTGATGAAGCTTATCTCTGCATTCCTGGTGTGGATCTTCTCCCAGTTTGTGTACGCTGTTGTGTTGTGTGGGGCATGCAGGCTTGTTTCTCAGGGGCCTCTCCCATGGACCATGAGTGAACAAAGAGTTGGGCCCTCACTTCTGTATGACTGCACAGGAACAGAAACACAGGCGCTTAACCACTAGAGTGTCTGCGGTGAGGCCACTGATGTCCACTTTCACTATGGTGGTGCTGTCAAAAACATCTCAGTGAGGGAATAGGATAAACTGGTTTAAAGAAAATCATATTTATTACATGTGAATGTCATTAAAGCTGCACTATGTAACATTCTGGAAAAGGGTACACCACCTGCTTGTCTCCATATAGATAACATTGCTTTGAATCTCCCAGAATATGGCATTAAACTCCTCTATCTTGTATTTATTCACACATTCACTTTTTATTGCTCACACATACCTTGGAAAACATATATTCCTCTTAGCTGGGTCTCCTTTACTCAGATCTGACTTGTAACTTGGCCTGGTTGCTTTAGCTGATGAATCTGTGAAGACAAATAAGCTTAATGTCATACTGTGGAACATATTTCCATGGAGATGAACTGGTGGAATACCATCCTCTTGGAAAGTTACCTAAGTTTTGCCAAATTAAATACAAAATTACTTTAGCTTCTAGCCAGACTGGTGCCACCTAGTGCCTCCGC